AAAAATTGTTTTAATTTTTGTCATTCAATTTTCCTTTTGTCCCCCTTTTGCATCCTTTCTTTAATGATTCTATTCCTTTGATTTCTTTGGTATCAGTGTAATTCTTGTCCTGCAGTGAGTTGTCCTGTGGCAAGATGGCTGTGGCAAATTGTCCCATGGCAAGTTAGCCGCAAAATGTTGGCCATGGCAAGTTGACCATGGCGAATTGCCTTGGACAATTAGAAAACATATATCATTCAAATTATAACCAATTTTTTTCTGCACGTTTGTCATCCTTGATTAATAGAATGCACTACCAAGTTAAGTGTGTTTATGAATGAAATCTCTTTAATTTTTGCTAACTGAATTTATCAGTTCATTTTCTAGCCATTTGCAGAAAAGTAGAATGATATTAATAAATGAAGATAAAATATAATTCTGCATTCTTATTGGGCTGTGAAAGTTAGTATAGAGTTCAGTCATACGGTTTTATACCATAACTAAGTTTTACTTTTTAGACAAAGGTTCAGTGGACATAATTTCCTAATGGTTGTTGACCTTCATTCTCGACTAGTCAATAACTGTATACAGTAGATATTTTGTATGAAATGAGTAAAGTGCAATAGTTATCCTGATTTATAATAGTGACTATAAATTACCCATAAAGTAGAATCAACGGGACTCTCAAGTTGACTTAGAAGTATACCAGGGAAGGGTGTGACCAACCAGCTACATTGATCTCAGGCTATTTTTTGATTTGTAGGTAATTCCAAAGACAACCTGTAGCTTCATATATCATATTAAGACATAATGTGCCTTGTTTGATTTTAGTTTATGTTGTAGTGTGAAACCAGCCATTGTAGTTAGGAAGTTTGATTCCCAACTGAGTATGAGGTATAAATCCAGCCATTTAGGGTTTATTGAACAAAGCGTGATTAGTGCAATGTGTGAATCAGACCTCTGAGGTGCTTAGTTTAGAAATATTCAGTAGAGTAACTTGGCTAAATGTTGGCTTCTATTCTGAAAGGTCTTATTGCTAATGTACATGAATAATAAAATAGTTTGTTACAAATGTGATTCCCTCCACATTTAATGGAGCTTCTAGAATGTATCTGCCAATGACTGTCGAGTGGAAGTTCTTTCATCTTAATTTGATGTTGCTTATTGGGGAAAAAAAGGAAAGGCAGAAAACATGTCACAAGGAAATACCCTAGCCTGAGTTTATAATGCTAGTTCCAAGATTCAGTATTATTTAAGCTGTCTTTAAACCAATAGGGTTAGACAACGAATTTAATTCCCATTCATTCTAAGGGTGGATTATAATAAATGTTGCAGCTTGTTTTGGAGTTTCCTATTTGGGAATTATAGTTTAATGAAGCTCTCTAGCTTGAAAGTGTTCAACTGAAGCCCAAGATAGTTGTGAAATCCTAGTGGAAAGTGTTGTTCATTAACTGCTGCATGACTGCAGTGGAGACTTTATCCTTTTGCTGGAAATACAGTTTCCATTCCTTAACAACCATGTCCCTGAAGAAGTAGCCATCCCACAGTAGTTAAGAAGCTGTATCTAGGTCTTTCAAGGCAGAAAAGAAAAGTACGAGGAACTGAGAGCTAGGCATTTTCAATCTCAGAGTAAGACTGGCTCTGGGTGAGGATGGCCTTTTTTTTTACAAAGCCAAACCAGAGCAAATTAAATGAAGCTGCCCTTGCATTGCCCTCATGGATTTTCCATTGCTCATCTACCTGTAGATTCCTGTTCTGCAATCGATTATATTTGGGATTGGACTGTGTCAGAATGGATGGAATAGGCCCACAGGCCATGGAAATTCTCAGTCATCCAGGTCATAGTTGTTTTTCAAAGGCAGCTGGACTTCCTTTGTTTTTCCTTGAATACATTTTGCTTCTCATCCAAGAAGCTTCTTTAGTTCTGACTGAATTGTGGGGAATGAAAGGATTTACAACATGGTTCTTTTAGCAACTCCCAAAAGGTTCCACACCCGTTTACACTATTCAGGTGACCCAGAGGACACAGGTAAACCTCCAAGAGGCCTCAATGACTATCAGAAAGAGTGCTAACAACCAGACGACTACAAGGAATATAAATCCTTCCATTATCCACCATTGAAACGGAACTGGAGAAGCCTCTTGGATGAGAAGCAACATGTCTTCAATGGAAAACAAAGGAAGTCCAGTTGCCTTTTGAAAAAGCACCTTTGAGACCCTTCCAAGTTGGGTGATCTTCTTCCTTGTCTCAAAGAGATGTAATGGTGTCTGAATTGATGGCTAGAAGGATCTTGAGCATATCAAGCCCTATGTCTATGGAGATTTTCAGTCTTCCAGGTCATGAGTGTCCTAAATGTGCTTTTTCAAGAGGCAATTGGAGTTCTTTGTTTTTATTTGAAGATGCTTTGCTTCTCATGCAAGAAGCTTCTTCAGCTTTGATTGGATGATGGGAAATCGAAGAATTTTTGCTCATTGCAGACAGCTGGTCATTTGCATCCTTTCAGAGAGAAGTTGAGGCCACTTGGAGGTTTGTCTGTGTCCTCAGGGTCACCTGAGTAGTGCAGTGGGTGTGGAGCCTTCTTGGAACTGCTGAAAGGACTGTGTTGTGGAGCTGGGTTTCCTGCAGGATGTTTTCTGCCCTGTGGCCCTTCACTGTTGAAGACAGGCGCAGGCTGTTGGGGATGAGTCTGGGTTGTCTCTATTTCAGACAGAAGGGCAAATGGTTCCTGTAGTCTGCATTTTTTCTGGAAGTCCGTTCATTCTTCTGCACCATTTGAGGATGTTCATCCCATAGTGCACAACTAAATGTCTAAATATCAAGCCCTACTTTTTTCAGTGGGATATAAGGTATCTCTTATCAATAATTATTGGACTTCCTGTTAGTACAGTCTGTAGAATCTAAGTTCTTTTGTTTTTAAGGTGTCCTTCCTAAACCTCTTAAGAAGAAAGTTGCATGGTGTGTAGACTCAGCAATGCATGTTTGCATACTGGCAGCCACAGTTTGCTCCTAATCTTTTTCCAGAGCTTGCATACATTCTTTTTCTCTATAATTTGTATCATTGCCAAAATTTTCTAAGGAATGCATTCAACAGGAGTACTCCTGTGCCTGCTAACTTTTGAGCAGCTAGTCTCTGGACTGCCTATTTGGACACCAGCTATAATGGGACGCAAAGCAGATCTTGTAAATCCATATTTGTTGGATCAAAAAAAGAAATTCAAACAAAGGATGGAATGGAGGGGAGCCCTTGTGCATGTTTGGTGGGTCGAATATTGTATGTTGTGTTGTCTTCAATTTACCAATTGAAAAAGAGAGACCTATCATTATGTTCCTTTTCTCTGTAATGTTGCATACATATAGATATATACACATATTCATCCCATTCTGCTACTGTTATGACATGACCAGAGAGAACTAGAAGAGTGAATCTAGCCTTACCTATCCTGCCACCATCCGGTCTGCCCCAATCTGATACTAGGAAATCCAGCATCACACTACATAGTTCTTGCTTGGAGACGATCCTAATCCAACCCCCTTCAATGAGTGGCTGATACCAGCAAGAAGGAAGGGGGTCAGAATTCACAATCTCCAAAACTAAATGCAACCAAAGCCTCAAGTTCTAAGGGAAGCATCCTCAAGATGTCCTACAAATAGTCCTCGACTTACAACAGTTTATTTAATGATTGTTCAAAGTTACAACGGCACTGAAAAAAGTGACTTATGAGCATTTTAGGACGATGGCAGTATCCCCATGGTCACGTGATCAAAATTCAGATGCTTGGCAACCAACATGGATTTATGATGATTGCAGTGTCCCAGGGATCATGTGATCCTCTTTTGTGACCTTCTGACAAGAAAAGTCAGTGGGGAAGCCAGATTCACTTAACAAATGTGTTACCGTCTTAACAGCTGCAGTGATTCACTTAACAACTGTGACAAAAAGGTTGTAAAAATGGGACAAAATTCTCACTTAGCAACATAAATTTTGGGCTCAATTGTGGCTGTAAATCAAGGACTATCTGTGCTAGGAAACTCTTTAACAATTCTAGATTAGCAAACAATATCCTAAGCAGGAGTGAAATCTATCTCCCAAATTAGTTCCCAAAAAAATCAGTTTTTTCCCCTGGAATGCTAATTTGTAAACACAAAACATTACATCATGGATGCTTCAAAGCCCTCTCTAGCTCTTTAGTATCACAGCTTGCCTTTTAAAAAGGTATCGGTAGGCACTATATATCATGAGCCAGGTTTAAATGAAGAGAATGAAAGTTACAGCTATATAGTGGGGGAAAAAACATGTGCTAGGAAATGCAAGTCCACGCTAGGTGGTTATGTATGCTCCTTGCAGTTTTTGTGTGCACCCTCTCCCCATACAGGCCCATAGAAATACATTTAAGATAAATTATGAATCTCTTTTCCCAACTTAAACTCATTTTAAAAACAGCTTACTCGGAACTGTAGAAAGCTTGTGCTTCTGAACCTGTTAAGATACCTCCCTCTGGATGAGTGCCACTCCCTTTAATTACAAGTTAGACTACAGTGTTATAGACAGACAAGCAGCAGAGATGACCCTGGACTGCCAACAGGCCAACATTGAGCATGCCTACCCACCTTCAATGGATTGAATCCCCAAGTCAGTACATATAGGATTGCATTGGTAGAAATACAGGCACAAAAGCACATTGAATATCTCATGATGTCACTAAATCAAATCACATAAATAACTAGCAGGGGGATCAGTTATGAGGTCAAAACTGTTCTGTCCACCACCAGCAAAACTGGGCTGTACAATGGAGCATCTCAATTTTAGAGGTAACCTTCCACTTAAATAGGTTCTCTCTAGGTCTGTCTGCCTCACTCTGTATGGAGGGGAGGGGAGGATTGCAAATGTCTGATGGCTTCTGCAAACTGGTTGTTGTTGTTGTTTCTTTTTTCTTCCTCCTTCCCTTTTGATTTAAACTAACCACAAACAATACATGACCATGAAAACATCACCCTGTATTCTGTTGGGTCATCCCGACAGCCGGAGAACCTGCTTCTGGCCAGCAAATGCAAAGGAGCAGCGGTGAAATTGGCAGATTTTGGCTTGGCAATTGAGGTTCAAGGAGACCAGCAGGCCTGGTTTGGTGAGTGCTGGTGGAACTACACTCCCTTCCTTTTTTCTTGATTTGTGTGGTGGAGCCAGATGGTTGTGTGAACATACGTGTGTTGGCAATTTTTGCTTTCTTCCTCAGGCTTTGCAGGTACTCCTGGCTACCTTTCTCCAGAGGTTCTACGCAAAGAAGCTTATGGGAAACCTGTGGATATCTGGGCATGTGGTAAGAGGGAGCTACATCATTCTGCTCTATCACAGTGGGCCTGTAGAGTTGCAGAGAGGGCTTCCCATTTAGTTCATGGCTCAGCACTGTTCTGCAGAGCAGATCACAAAAGTTTGTGTATCCCCTCAAAACTCAGGTAGAAGACAAACTGATAGAAGACAAATTAGAAGTCAGTTTGTAGAGTAAATTGTTTGGGTATGGATTGAAGTCACACATTGCTATAGCTATACATTTATGTTCCTCCTTACAGACTTTTCAAGATGGCCCAGAACAAAAATAAACCTGCAATAATAAACACTAAGTTTAGCACTAATATGTGCAAAATAATCAAAGCTGCATGATGGTATTCAGTTCCTTATGGCTGCCAAGAAAATTATGGGTGTGCCTATGTGGTCACCAGATACTGTACTTGACTGGATGGAGTATATAAAAACTTGTGGTCAAAATGGTGAAGATGGCAGGGCTATCAAAGCTTCATTTGTTTCTGTGTGTCACATGTACAGCATAAGCCAAAATCAGGCAATCACACTATTATGGCTGACATGTTGACTTTCTTTTAACCATGGTAAGAAGGTTCTAGCTCCAGGTCTTCACCTTCTGCTGAAGATCAGTAAACACTCTGGATGGGATGTGCCTCTCATTTGCACCCAAACTCCTGGTAGAAAAAGTTACAACTGCAACTCCTCATACCCTTGCCGACAATTTGGAACTCTATTGTAGATTGCAAAATGAGGATCAGAAACCATTTGCTTGTTTCCTTGCTTGCTTTCTCTCAGGATGAGTAGAGTATGCACTTCAAGATCTGAATCTGTTCACTTACTTAGTTCAATTTAGATTGCTGCTGATTGATCAATCTAATGGCCATCTCAAATCATATTGCACCATGTCATTTGTTTGTTTATCAATTTGCTAATGTTCCATTTCCCCCCCCAGGTGTTATTCTTTACATCTTACTCGTGGGGTATCCTCCTTTTTGGGATGAGGATCAGCACAAGCTGTACCAACAGATTAAGGCTGGTGCCTACGATGTGAGCAGTGGTTTCTTTTGCTTGCATTCCCTCTGTCTTACAACCTGTGAAGAGTCACTAGACTACCCAAAGAAAAAAGTTCAAAAGTTGCTTTTCTTAAAATTAAGTACTGGGCTAATTGTAAGCTCCTCAGCAGGAGTTTAAGTCTCCTTGAGGCTGTGAGAATGCTGAGTTTCAAAAGACCAAGGGATGCTTTGTGGGCATTTGATTCATTCTTCAATCGATAGCTGTCAAGATAGATAGCTTGGGTTTACACATCACCAGTAGCCCTAATATGCTGTATGGCATTCAACTAATTATTTATGAAATAAAGAAATCATGATTTACAGCAGGTGCGCCCAGCTTTTTGGCTTGCCTGCGTCGCATTGAGTGAAGAGGAATTGTCTTGGGCCTCATATAAAATATATAATATAGTAACTATCACTAAAAAAATCACATACTAATGTTAAAAATTTACGATCTTGTGACCAGCTGTCCAGGGCCATATGCGTCTGCATAGACCATGGGTTGGTCATGCTTGATTTAGAACAATATGTCCAAAAAAAGTCAAATATGATAACAAGGATTCAAATAGAATAAACCATATAATACTTTTTTAAAAAATGTCTGAAACTGAATGCCTCATTTTGAAATTTAACAGTAATTTGTGGATGAAATCTTGACTCGTACCTCAGATTTCTGTTGGTGTCTATGCATTATTCTAGCATTTTTATTAGAAATACCAACTTAATTGATCAGTGAAGACCCTCTTCTTTTAATATTAACGTTGTCTTCCTGCAATGTTTTCTTCCCTTAGTTCCCTTCCCCTGAATGGGACACAGTCACTCCTGAAGCAAAAAACCTCATTAATCAGATGTTAACTATCAACCCTGCAAAGAGAATCACAGCACATGAAGCTCTGAAACATCCATGGGTCTGCGTAAGTATGATTGGGTTTTCCTTGTGGCTTAGATTCAACCCATCTGCTCAAACACTGTTAAAGGAATCCCAAGTTTCCTTGTTTAGTTCCCTTAGAGATTATAATAGTTACACCTTCTAAGACAGGATATAAGCAAAGTAATGATAAGGATGCATAAGCTTCCAAAGAGCTTTTATGAGAGTACCTCTACTGAGTAAATGTTTTCAAATAACCTTGTTTATAAAACTTCACTGCTTTGAGTATTCTGTGGCAAGCTGACTAAAAGAGCTTGGATGATGCAAGAAGGATCCACTGAGAAGAGGTTAGATGGGGATGATCCAAGAAGGAACCACTGAGCCACAACGAGGCCCACTCCTAGTCCCCCATACAGTTTGTTTTGGCTAACCTTATTGTTAGTGATACCAGTGTTCCTCTCCAAGAAGCTGACCTACATATGTTGCTATTAGGGATCTGCAGAACAATGGGTTGCATGGTGCTGGGGAAACTGCCTGGGTAGGCAGATATTACAACTACCTTTCCATGGACTGCTTCAAGGACTTCTGTAGTTGTAGTGTACTCAATATGGCTAAATGGTCCCTGAGATGTTTTAGGAACCTGCGTGTATTAAATACACCAAAGCAGGCCAGGAAGGCAGCAGAGTCTATCTCTGTTTCCTCACAAGTGCAATTCACCCTGCCTTTTTGTTGACCCCCCCCCCCCCCGCTTTTTTTCCTTCTCTTGCACTTTTTTTTAATGCCAGGCCAAACACTTTAGACTTTCACTGTTGGCTTCCCTATCTCACTCTCATGCCTTGTAATATTCTTTTTGCAGCAACGTTCGACAGTGGCCTCAATGATGCACAGGCAGGAGACTGTAGAATGTCTGAAAAAGTTCAATGCAAGAAGGAAGCTGAAGGTAAGCGATTTAAGGGGATATGAAGGTGGAAATACATAAGGACTTTCAGTGTCAAATCTCTCTTGCAGGTCCTGTAAGTTAAATAGTTTTGTTGACTGTCCTTAATAATATAAATCAACATCCTTAGTCTCTTTCCTTCACCATATAAAGATGACTTTTCTTTACTGTCTATCATGTTTTGAACAGATTTAACTTCTTTTATGTCAGCGTACAACTTTTCCTCTTCATATTCTCTGTCATCATCTTCCTATCTTTTTATCCTTCTCAATCATTTTATCTGTAATCACAGATTTCATTTCTGGCCTTCCATGTTTTGTTCAATTTAGATTTTGCCTCTTACAAGTTGACTGAATCTTCTGTTCAATTGATGTTGACTTTTCCTGTCTCTTCATTGCCTTTCCTTGTTTCTTTCTCTATTGCCTTTAGTATGATCATTTTTCACTTTTCTCAACTTCTCTGCTCTTTTGGTTTTTGTGATGTCTTCACTTTGTGGGCTGCTGTTCATACGATCTTGAAATATCTGCTGTGAACTCTACGTGGCATCAGGAATGGCATCCAGCCAGTAAATGTTCAGCTCCATTCGGTTGCCCCAACGCTACCCTCAGATTAAGGGATTACAAGTTCATAAAAAGGAGCTTTTGTTTATATGCATCTTTCTATCATTTTTCTTCATTTAAATGTAAAAGTATTGATGTGATCTCACTCTGTTCCTTTTGCCACCCTAAAAATCACCAGTTCTCTTAAAATTTACTATTAAAATCCAGGTTTATGATACACCTTTCCCAGTTTACCTTTCCCCCCATTTCATCTGTATACTGAATTACCTTAAGGCAGTAAAGTACTTTTACTTTTTTCCCTTATGAAATATTCAGACCCGCGAAATAGCATTTATAAAAGTAAAAGTGATAAAAATACTGAATCTTCTCTTTCTGAACACTCTAGTCACCCTGTACCTTTTGTTAAAACCAGAATAAAACAGGAGAAAATTCCAGATTAGCTTTTTGGTTAGGATGAGGTTGACCAACTTTTTTTCTGCCATCTAAGGTTAATTGCTTTATTTATTATAAATATTAATTAAAATTATTATAATTCTTATAAAGGTAATAGAAATAATGCCATGTTTTGAACCATGACAACTCAGGTTGGTTTTCTGATGATAATACTGATCTTTAGAAAAGCAAGCATAGCTGCACTGGTCCTTTATATAACTGTTAGTGAAAAGGGATGTTAGAGAATAAAATTACATGTAAGGAAAGTAAAACTTTAGGCCAGATGTTTTAAGCCTTGATTTCCAATTCAAAGCCAGTCTCAACACACAAATAGTAGACTGAATGCATTGTTAGTAGTTGATGTTACTGATGCCAGGTTGCATCTCGCATATAGGGACACCACCTGTCCACCAAATGTGTTGACTGCCACATCTTTACTCAACACACAAAGACCTTAGTCCCCAATGTCTCTTGTCCCCACCAGAGCAAGCAGTTGATGGGCAAACAGACAGTAGTGAAGTTACAGTTGTATTATATGAGAAAGGCTGTGAATACTTAAGTGTTCTTTCTCTCAGCTATGTTTCCATCAGAGCAGGAAGGACTAAGGCTGGGAAAAGATAATATTGTCCTTTGTGATAGACTGAAGATGAAGGAGCTTTCTGGGAGTCTCCATAGAGTAGATTCAATGAAATGAAGGAGGAACATCCATCCTCTAAGAAGGAAATGACCCATTCATGGCTCAGGAAATAATGTCTATGTGAGAGTCCCACTGTTATGTTTTTGTTCTATACCAAGGGTGTCCAGCCTTGGCCACTTTAGGACTTGTGGGCTTCAACTCCCAGAATTCCCCAACCTGCCATGCCATGCTGGCTGGGGCATTTTGAAGGCTGAAATCCACAAGCCTTAAACTGGCCAAAGTTGGGCACTCCTGTTTTATATAGTATATTTTTATGGCAAGAAACTACAGTCATGCAGCTTTCCTAACGGGCCAATGTAACATTTGACACATACAATAAACCAGAGGTGAAGTTTATGGAACATTTAAGTTAGCAAAAGCTGCCTTCAGTTCTTCGTTGGTTTTAAAATCAGATTAAAACTCTTTGCTCCTGCTTTGGATGAGAGAGACATTAGTGAGGCAAATAAAAATGATTATCCTTCAGGACATGTTAGAGATAATTTTGAAATTTGCCCCAATGTTTAGACATCTGTTTCTTTTCTAAAAGTAGCCTATTTCTCATTGCAATGCACTCATTACCTGATAATTCTATGTCTGTTACTCATTATTTCACTTACATTCCATGTACTGGAAAAGTGATATAGTATTACAATGGGCAGCTTAGGGCACAAGCATTTATCTTCTGTACATTCTCTAGGCCTCATACTAATTGATCTGATTTATTTGACAAGATGTCTTTAACCTTCCAAGCATGGCAAAGGTTAGCTATAATGAAAAGAAATGGAATTATTTCCTTTTTGCCCAACAGCATGTTATCTGTATTAATCTTTTTCTGCAAAGATTTGAATGTTAATCAACAATCCACTTCAGAAAATCTTCATTAAATCAGTAGTTCTTTTTAGCAATTAGGGAGAATTTTCTGCTATTCTCCAATTAATCAAGTTTTAGTCGCACCTTAGCTTGCATTCTTTATTTCTGTTTAGTCACTAAACCTTCCCAAAGACAGAGGCAACAGCCAGCTTGTACTTTCTTTTTAATACTAGTTTTATTTTCATTTTAGAACTCACTGTTTCAGGGATGGTGTTGTTATGTAAGTGGATTGCAGCTGGGATAATGAGAAAGACAAAAGACAGAATATTAGTGTGTGGAATTTGGTGAACCACTGTTTATGCTACCATTTCTTGTGAAGCTCAACAGGTGATTTTAGGCAGGTAGTATTATTATTTCAGCTTGACTTTGCTCAGAGATCTATTAAGAAGATAATAACCTATTTGTGCCTTAGAGGGATGGAGAGGGGTGAGAACTTAATAACAGATTACAATCCCCTTTGAGACCCGGTCTTTGGGCTTGAAAGAATAGAACTGTGAAAAATGTGGACATAAACTTTCAGCAATGTATGACTGTTTTTTTGTCACTTGACTGGGCACAAGGGACAATACAGGTAGTCCTCGACTTATAACTCTTCACTTAGTGACCATTTGAAATTGCAGTGGCACTGAAAAAGGGACTTATGACCATTTCTCATACTGACATTACAGCATCCCCATGGTCATGATCAAAATTCAGATGCTTGGCAACTGGTTCATATGATCCCCTTTTGCGACCTTCTGACAAACAAAGTCAATGGGGAAGCCAGATTCATTTAACAACCAGGTTACTAATTTAACAAATACAGTGATTCACTTAACAACTGTGGCAAAAAAGGTCGTAAAATGGGGCAAAACTCTCTTAACACACATCTCACTTAGCAACATAAATTTTGGGCTCAATAGTGGTCACAAGTCGAGGATTATCTGTACTGGGCATACGGACATGTTAGAATGCAAATATGATGTTCAGTGATGTACCAACATAAGAGATGTTGAGATTTGCTGTCATCCTTTGAAATCTGAACAATTTCTAGCACAGAATTTTGTACTGATACATAAATATCTCACAAAGGCTACAGTAGATTAAACACCTTCCCACAAAACTTCAAGAACAGAGAAAATGATTTGGTGCATTGCTTTTTCTTCATTTATGCTACACATATTCTATTCTCTTTTTTCCTTTGTGTTTAAAATTCTTTCAATAATTTCTTTTGTACGTCTATTTACTTTTTTTCTGCTTTCTTCCTTTTAGGGTGCCATTCTTACCACTATGTTGGCAACAAGAAACTTTTCAGGTGAGAAAAGCTTTGCTTTGCTTAAATGACAAGCCAAAACTGAAAAAAGTCCACCCCCGTGCTTTCCAAACCTCCTTTAATTAAAATGAAGCAAGCAAGCAAGGAAAAAGAAATTCTTCTAAACCTCTATTATTTAGTCTCAGTCTCGAGATGTGACATTCATCCCTTTTCTCTTAATGCTCTGTGTTCTTTGGGCAAGACCATATTATCTTCAAAAAGGTTATACTGGGGCCAGAGGTGGAACCCAAACTTTATTTATTTATTTATTTATTCATTAGTGATTTAAAAAGCAGGGGGAAAAATCCCCGAATGGCCATGAAAGGCCTAACAACAAGCTTGCTTTCATGAGCTCTGCCAAACTTCCTGTGGATCTATTCTCCTCCTTCATTGTCCTAAATAAATGCAGCCAAAGTCCTTGGATTTGATGCTTTAACACAGGGATACCCATCCACACAGGCTTTCTGTGGGGCTCCCCCAAACTGTCCTCAATTTACATTTCTCAGGTTCCTCTTTACATTTAGTTAACCTAGCTTGTATGCAGTTTAATCCTGACTCTACCCCAGAACTTTCAGGAGTTGCTGCAACTTTCCCCAAATTCTTTTCCTCTGTCTCTGAAATGGTCCTCTTGTTATTCTAAAACAGTTCCTGGTTTAAGTAGGGCAGATTCTTTAGGTTGTTTCCTTAGTTTTGCCTGTTGGAGGGGGGAAGGAGAACTTAGTAATCTAATAGAGGGAGAGGGGATCTTGAGAAGGCGCATGCTTTGGACTGTAGCGCATTAATTCTTCGAGTTGGCTTTGTCTGGGGAGGCAGTGTTGCAGTGAGCTAGTTCCACCTTGTGGGTCTTAGTTCATAATGGACATCCATCCAGGAAACACTATCCAAAAGAGTAAAGTACTTTCCTACTATGGGAAATGAGTTGCTTTTCCTGCCAATAAAGAGGAAACAAATGCATCTATTTCTAAAACAAATGAGGGTGAAAGATGGCTGAGTAGATGCCTCAAGCGATAGTCCACCCCTGCTGTTGTCTCTCCTTCCTTACTCTCCTGCAGGGTTTCTTTTCCCATCACTGTTCATGGACCTAATCAAAGCCCTATGAAATATCCAGCAAATCACAGCACAATCCATTTTCTGCACCTCAAAAAGTCAAATTCTGCAGCTAGCAGGTGTCGTAAAGGCCTGTTAGTTCTAGATAAAGATACGCTAGGCTAACATCGACAAGGTTTTATCTAATTGAGGATGCAAGAATTTCTGGGCAAAAAACTGGGTGTGGGAAGCTGTAGCATTTTGAAAACATTGAGGAAGAAGAGGGAAGATGGGTAAAGATGTTGAAAAAAGCAGTGATCTTCAGCAATAAATAAATAAATCTCAAACTTTTTGTTCTGTTCCTAGCCAGGGGATTGATGGGATATCCTGGAATTATAGCTGGGTAAGCTACTGGATCTTAATGATGGCCTGATCCTCCCAGCTGGAAAACAGGTGATGGCTACAAGGCACCTGTGATTTGCCATGAGTTTCTGTTACTTCTTCCTAAGTAATTTCATGGTGATTTCCAAATTCCATAAACAAGTTTGGAATCACAGAATTATGGAGTATTTTCTGGTTTTGAAGCTTCCAAACTTGGCATTTAAACATATTTTACTAAGTGTTTCTTTCATTAAGAGGTTTGGAATCATAATGGAGGAAACCCCAGAAGTGGAAAAATGATGATTGCAGTGTTTTAATACACAAGCGAAGCTCAGGAAGCCAACAGCAGAAGAATTGCATGGCTCCCATATTGCATTCCATGCTTTAGCAACATCTAGGAATTGTCAACCCCAACAGTAGGACTTCTTTAATGTAGACCTTGTTCATTCCAATTGCATTTGATTAATCCTGGTCATATGGAAGCCTTTCCTAGCCATCATGCTTTCCAGGACTCAGTAGCAGAATGAGTATTTTAGAGCATCTTCAAAAGTTATGGGCCTAAACCAGGACCCAGGGTTTCCCTACAGTTGTTGGGCTTCCAGTGCAGAGAAAGAAGGTAATAATAACTCTTGATCTGATGGAAAAAAATCCACGGATTGTGTAAAAGTGAATGCACGTTTGCTACCAATAGTCATGTCTCTTCATCTCAACTTTAACTCTAATCTTGTTCTGCTTCCTTTGTCTCCTTTCTTTCCCCTTCTTACTTTCCCTCTGCCTTGTCTTCTTTCTCTGTCTTTCTCTGCCTCCGCTCTTCTCTAACTCTTACCCCAATCCCTTTTCCTACTTGCTGTCCTTTATTTCTTTGTTTTCCACTCTGGTGCTAACAGTGGGCAGACAGACCACCGCTCCCGCCACCATGTCTGCAGCAGCAGCAGCCTCCGGTGCCACCATTGGGTTGGTGGAGCAAGGTAGACATGTCCGGAAGAGACCCTCCTCAATTTCCCTTCTCTCATTTTGAAATCTTGAGTGCATGTTGTGTCATCCATCCAAGGCACTTCATTCCACCCTGTTGTAAGATTCAGGGCTAGCCTTTTCATCTCCAAAGAGCCCAAGCAAGGGCTACCTCTGTAGAAGTCTGTCTGTTTAGTGGTGTCAGTTCTGTCGCGCTCCATTTAGATGTGATTAGAAATGATTGTGAAAATGTTACAGGAAGGGATTGAAATCAATTAATGTGAAAGTCGCAAGTCAGCAGTCTCCAGACACTGTATGAAGCAGGACAAAAGTTGCAGACCAATGACAGGAAAGGAAATGCAGGATTTGTAGGCTAAGTGATGGCGGTGTTGCTAGAGGCTGAGAATCTGGTGGGTGGATATTATTTTAGTGTATTTTGCAAATATATTATCATATATTATTAAATACTTCCTGAGGCTATTACTCTTAACAACAAATATCCAATAGAACATGGAAACGATGAAGAACAGTGGCAGTCTTAATAAAAGGAAAGAGGGTGACTGATAAGGGCATCTAATTGTCATTTGGTCTGTCCTCCCCCTTCCCCAACTTTTCTTACTTGTGAGATGTTTGGTGAGATTGTGAGGTGTTGCAATGATTGCTCATCAAAAATTGCTAAGGTGCTCTTCATGACTGAAACGAAATAGTCTATTGCAAAGACTATTTGCCGTAGCAAATGCTATCAATGCAGGCTGATTGCCAAGTGTCCAAAATGTAGTCATGTGACTGGGAGCCCCCCTCCCTCCAGCCATCAGGACTTTGAATTTGGGTCATAAGCAGCTCTAGGAAGGTCCATCATAACTTTGAACGGTCGCTAAGTGATCCTTCATAAATCAAGAACTAACTGTAAAGATAAAAACCATTATAACTACATTTAATCCAGCTTGCCCTGGTTAAATCAACAATCCTCTAACACCAGCAGAGCTTGCCTTAACTCCTGGCCCAAATGCCTGGAGCAAGCAAGAGTTCTTCAGAGCCTTAAGAGTCGTTAAGCTCATTATAGCTGAAATTCTTGCTAAAAGACACCCATGCATTTCCTTATTTGCATGCAGAATTCAGACATGTTAATATATCTAACATAACTCTTTCCTCTACCAGTCATGAAAAGGGCTATGTTGTATTCATTTAACTGTCAGCAGTGAAGCTCCTCCAGTGTCATTTAACCCTGGCAACATTTTTGGGATTGGTTCTTTCATAAATAACCAACCAACAAATTGATTTTTACACTTTGATAGGAATTTTGCAGCATTGCCCATTTCGCTGCCTGACCAATCTCTGATTTGGAGCTTAGACATTTGAAATGCAAAAGGAAGAATATCCATTTCCTCTCTTGCTTTGCTGATTATTTCTTATGAGTTTGGAGTTAAATTCTTTCCCAAAAGGGACTGCTGCTTGCTCAGATGAACTTGTTGGTGCTAATAAAAATATGCACTATTCGAGCTGGGCTATAACACCGCATCATCCATGCATCAGAGTGGATTTCATCTTTGTTTCATAGTTTGACTTTCTCTGGAGTTTAATTTTTGCCTTAGTAGGATGATGAGAATTACCATTTTTCCCCTCTTGAAACCAGGCATGAATTCTGGTGGAGATGTTCTCTTTTGCTGAAGAGAACTGTAACTTTATAGATCAGGCTTATTTTGTTAGCATGCAGAAGATATAGACCAGCCCTTTCTAGGTGGACATTCTGTTCCCTGTTCTGCTGTTTAAATCTTAAACCTTAAAACAAATACGTTTTATCTCAGGAAACAAACTAATTATGCTTACCTCTCCCATCACCTGAAATCCTCACCATGGTTTGAATTTGGGCTCCTATAACTTTCAGCCATTGCAACCCTTAGATGATTAGGAATTCTTGGACCTGAGTACAAAAACATCCAGAGCAGGGGTTCTCGTGCTGGCTGAGGAATTATTGGAACTGAAGTCTATATGTCTTAAAATTGCCAAGATTGGGAATCCCTGATCTAGAGACACCAAGCTAGAGAAGGCCTGGCTAGGCATTGGTTTCAATTAATAAAAGTACATCTAGTGATCATTAGGCTTCATGAAATATACAGTCAAATGGACTCTGCTGTCCTTTGAAGAGAGGTTTGCAGCTCAGCCATAAGTTAACCTTGGGTAGGTTAATATGCTTCTGATTCAATACCCTGGTATGATTATGAAGGCAAAACTGAAGATAATGCACCAAGTGTTGGATTCTTCGTAGTTTTCTCTTATAGATGAAAACACAAATGAACTAGTAGAAAAATGTAGGAGGACTAGAAACCAAAAATTGGAGTATACTTGATGTTCCTACAAGCATCTGAAGATGAAATGCAGCTTAGAGTGGAGAAAACAGGTGAAGCTCATTGCTTTAGAGTAAGGGGATTAGGTTCCAGGAGCACACCTTTCTTCCATATCTAATCCATCCAGACAGTTGTTGAGGCATGCCAACGTAAGTTTCCCTTGATGCTTTATTCATGCCAGAACTTCTTGTTGCTTGTTGTAGTCACAGGTTTGTCTGTACCCCAGTTTTGTGATAGTGTGAATATGGTAAATGGTGCATGGAATTTGTGTAGCCCTGGTGCATGATTTGGGCCTTGACTAGAAGAATTGGAAGAAATTCTTCTCAGACAGTGGACAAGTGCTTCTGATGTGCTGAAACTGGCTGATGTGCATGCAAGATGGATAGCTCTATATGGTAGCAGTAATTTGATTGGTCTAAGCTACTTTTGAGTTAACGTGGTTCTGAAAACCCACCTTAAGATTTCAGGCCTGAAAAAAAGGAGACAGAAGCAAAAGAGAAAATTATGTTACTGCACTGCCTGTCTCCTTGATTTTGTATGCCAATTATTTAAAGCGAAGTATCCTACTGTTTTGTGCCTTGTACAGTGTAAAAAGCTGTACATTATATTCTTCTCCAACCTTCTCCAACCCAGGGTTTTTCATGTATTGGATCAACTCCCATAATTTAAATGAAGAAAAGACACAAAGGCTCATTTTTGTATTGAACTTAAAACTGCCTCCTTTAAGATCCAGAAAAAGCTTAATAAGTAGGTTTTCTTTTTTGAGAACAGTTATAATTATTCCATTCAGATTCTTCCACTCTGCCTCTATGGCCACTGCTGCTACATAATCACCAGTAACATCTTTTATTATTGTCATCTCAGCAAATTGCCCCCGCAAGGATTTAAGATATTTTAAAGCTTCAAATCTTCTTGTTCACTCTTTACTCTCAGTTTTTATTTAAAACTACTTCACGTATTGCAGATTTTTGCTTTACCACAGAAAGTGCTTCTGTTAATCCTGTAACCTTTGCAGTGATCATCTGTGATATTCCAACCTTGTTTCTCTAATTTAGCACCTTCTTTTAAAATTGAAATTCAAGAAGGTTATCTGACTAATAATTGATTGCAGCTTTTCTAATGCTGAACATGAAATATTGTAACACAGTGTTTCTCAACCTTATCAATTTTAAGACATATAGACTTCAACTCCAGATAATAAGTAATAGCTGGCTGGGGAATTTTGGGAGTTGAGGTCCACAGGTCTTAAAGTTGCCAAGGTTGTGAAACACTGATGTAGTCAGTTCCTCAGTTTCAGAGAGAGAGAGACCACAGAAGCAGTAGAAGAAACTCCAAGGACAGAGACAATCATGAGATGAATATACATTCTTCTGGTAGCTGTCTGATCAACATACCTTTTGAAATGCATTTGGTCCTCCAATTCTCAGGTGTATTATTATTTTTTAGCTTCCTGATTCTACAAGAATAGGTTGATGATTAACATGTGCTATTCTGATTATATTCTGCTCTTGGAATGAAGTCAAGTGCCCTTCTCCTGTTGCCCTCTGTCTATTAGAAGATGTTCAAGAAAGGTCAATGGTTTTTGAACCTTCACCTATCATGATTTTTTTTCCCTTCCAAATTCTGAGCAATGCAAGATTTCTACTGGATTCATCCAATTGCCAGCACAAGAAATGATGATTTTTTTCCTTGCAACAGAGTTGTTGCCATAGCCCATTTCATTTAGTTATTTAATATATTTTATTCTATACTTCTATATACTTAGCAGTATACACTTCCTGGACACCATGGAGCATCACTTTTTGAGAGATGGATGGCCATGGACACTTTTTCAGTTATTATATGCCACTCATCCCACTATCCAAAGAAACTCTGGACACTTAAAATAGATGGATGGATGGATAGATGATGGAGAAATAGGTAGATAGATAGACTGATGACTTCAGCAATCCATACATTTGTAATGGTGATGGGTGGTTTGTTCAGATTTTTTTAGGGTCTTATATAGCAAAAATGACACCTTGAATCTGGCATAATAGCTCCTTGACAGCCAATACTATGGTTGCTTCAGTTATGCACATAGCTGCATGTCCCACTCAACACCTTGACCACTGCATAATGCAACAGCTGAAGCTTCCGGACTAAGTCAAAGGAAAATACCTTCATTTCGAATACTGATTTGCTGACATAACTTCTAACAAAATCAAGATACAAAGATAATATTCTATCTCCTTCTGGTGGGATGAGGAGAAAGTAATCTTGTGTATTTTTCAAGTACTCTTTGAGATCAACTTCATCATTTTGATTATGGTGTCTTAAAAACAAAGGACATTGAATTGGATCCAGTGCTGCCTATCTGTTGATGAAAACACGTTCACTAGTGGAATGGATTCTTCCTTTCTTTTTTACAACACCTTCCAACATAGCTCATAAATCTCTTACAAATGTGAAGGATTCTCCGTAACATATTCATCAGAAGGAAGGAGAACTAGTGGAAGTCACCATGTATAATATTGGCTATATCCTTAATATACAGATTTTCCACATTTTTGGGGGGGAGGTGTTTGAGGTTTTGCATGCTGCTAGAGATATAGCAACATTGAAGAACAACTGTAATTTCCTCTTCTGCCCCTGGCATAATAAACTGTAATGCTTTCTGTTGTAGATTCTTCTTAACATTTGGAGGCATTGCTATATACTAGCTAGACCAGTAATTGTAATGTTCAGAGATAAATCCGCCATTGCCCCATCTTTGCTCTTAACAAATGAACTTGCCAATATTGTTTCTATCAAAATGTATATTATACATGAAGCCATTTAAAGCTAAAAGGTAGCAGCAACTATTGTAGTCATGTTCCATGAACATTATATGACTAAAATGTTTTCAGTCCAATACACAATCCATTGGCCATACTTCTTGGGAGTTTATTATTTATTTGTTAAATTTATTTGCTGCCTATCTCGTCATAGGGTATATTCTAGGCCCGTGATAGCAAACCTATGGTACGCATGCCACAGGTGACACGCAGAGTCATTTCTGCTGGCACGTGAGCCCCAGCCAAACTTAGCTCACTGTACATGCCTCCCAGGTGATTTTCGGACCATTTGAGGCCTTTTTTTTTTTTTGCCTCCCAGAGGCTTCAGGGAAGCCTCTGCAGCCTTTGGAGGCCGAAAGACAGGCTCATTTTGTCATTTCCTGTATTTCTGGAAGTACCAGAAGTGATGATGAAACAGGCCCATTTTTCGGCCTCCAAAGGCTGCAGAGGCTTCCCTCGAGCCTCTGGGAGGCCGAAAATCAGCTGGGAGGCACGTGGATGCCCAGTGCAGGTAAGGGGGCAGGGGGAATCGCGCATGCGCAGGGGGTGGGAGGGTCCACGCGCATTGCCTTCTGGGTGCTGGCACGCGAGCACACACGAGCACAATTTTCAGCACAGGAACCCAGAAAGGTTAGCCACCACTGCTCTAGGCAGCTTGCAATAATAAAAAAAAAAAGAACAATGAAAGGCATGCAAATATAATAGAACAATAAAATAAGCAATGACAAAGTAACCCAGCAAGAATAAATACATCAATATGATAACAAAAAAGAATACAAAATAAAAGAGTTGGAAGGGATCTTGGAGGTCTTCTAGTCCAACCCCTGATCAAGCAGGAAATGATTGTCCAGCCTCTTCTTAAAAACCTCCAGTGTTGGCACACCCACAACTTCTGGAGACAAGTTATTCTACTGATTGATGGGTGGAGGAAAGAGAGCAAGGAGATGGAGTCTGCCATCAATCTAGCAGCCACCTTCAAGGTGGAACTCCCCTGTTTGGTCCCATTTCAGGAATTCTAACAACTGGATTTGGGAGGGACTGACTTTTGGAGTGTCAAGTTTATTAGGACAAACTCCACACTTCATCATGAACTACAGGTAAACTTGGAAAAAAGAAAAGGAAACCTTTGCGAGGCAGAATATTTAGGATTAAGGGAAGAGTAGGAAAAGAGTTATGTGTTTAAGAAAACCCGAGTGAAGTTGATTCTGGTGTCCCAGAGTTGTACATTATGGAAAACGATGTCATCTTACTTGGAGTCCTTTTTCTATCCATGAGTTTCCATTCTTCCATTAGTGTGGTGATTGTGTGGTCCATTTCCTCCCAGTGCATATGAGCAAAGGCTTCTGTGGTGCTGCTTCTGTGGTGCTGGTGCTTCACTCCCTTTGGTGTCAAGACAGGGCCTCTGTCCCAAAGGCTTTGCTTTCTGTCTCAACACTTTTTCTCTTCCCCTCCCCTTTTTTTCTCTCCTTTTCTTTCTCCCCATCCCTCCTTCAATCCTCCTTCTTACTGCCTGTCTCTCTCGCCTTTTCCTCTTCTGTAAATTTCTGTAAGGTAAGCAAACTTTTGTTGAGTTCTGGCCTTTGATATAATAACTATCAATGGTGGTGACTGGACCTAATAAGGGACCAAGGGGGTTATAAGACTGGGATTCAGAAGCAGATGGAGTTGTCTTCTTGCGCAGATGGTGCTCCATCTGACATCAGTACCTTCACAGTAGATCCAATAATAGATTGTAACTTGGTTTCTTTTACTGCACACTAGAAATTCAACTGTACAAATTACCTGCTTTTTGCCCGGATACAACATGATAGTCATCAAATGTTCAATTCCTAGAGGATTCTCATGGCATTGTTGATTCCCTGAAATTCTCTTAACCAAATCCAAATAACAGACTATTCACTTTAGTCTTAATCCCTACCCCATTTGCTCTTATCACTCTTCTTAATCTCACTCTCAGCCTTACCATGCATTTCATTTCAGTTCAGCTTTTTCCCCCCCATATCACTCTTGGGTCTCTCCTCAGCCAAATAATAGCAACAAAAAGCAATTACAAAAACAAAAACTGATCATGCAATGGCCAAGAATTCCATATTCTCTGAATGACATACTCCAACCTGACACAAGAAGCCAGTACTGTAATCATTGAATTTTTGAAGATTATCAATATCTCATGAGGTGTAGGTGGAAATGAAATGATTCTATACCACCTTTTACATGGAAATCCCAATTACAGAGAAAAAAGACCAATGCTATGTTGGGTGTAATAAGGTCACAATCTTAACACATGGGAAAACTGCAGCTTGCTTAATGGACTGTAATAGAGTAGCTTCAATAAAGAAGCAGATGTGACTTGTTTAGAAATCAGAATATGAGCTCCAACTTTGCTTCAAAGATAAAATTTGTTGCTAGGACAGAATTATATAGCTTGATTGGCAAGTATCAGCTTCGGTCATGTTTAAGAATTTGGAAATTCTCAGTGCAAAAGAAGAGAACCTGTTTGTGTGGTGTTTAAGGCACCAGGCTACAAACTGGGGGGCTGTGAGTTCTAGTCCCACATTAGACTGACTTTGGGCCAGTCACTCTCAGCTTTAGGAAGGAGGCAATGGCAAACCACTCCCAAAAGTCTTGCCAAGAAAACTGCAAGGACTAATCCAGACAGTCATCAAGTATCAACACTAACTTGTAGGCATCCCTGGATGGGAAACTATTGGGAGATGCTAAGACTAGATTTCATTATGATGGTGATGATAGTATCATCTTAGAAGAAGATAGATTGTTGCCAAGATAGTTACAGGGGTATCTCCAAGATTCAAGGTTATCTTGAAGATTTACCTAGTATAAGAAAGACTGATAGTCCTTATTTCAAATAGAAAAGAACCTGTATGCAATTTTGTTGAAAAGATCTAGCATTTTCATTGCAAATGTCAGCATCTCTAAAACAAGTAGGTCCTTAGGGTAAGTCTTGGAGCTATTAGCACAAAAGAATTAACATTCAAGAAACTGTCCATGTTCTTCTGCAAGTTCAGCAAAAGGGGAGAAGGAACGATTGAAGAATTTCTCCATAGAAGGATCCTGTCCCACTTTATTCAGACTACTGCTTTGTTAAACAGAACACTGCTGTACAGAAACACCCTCCTTGTGGTTGGGCACAGTTTGGACAAAATAATGTGTGCCCAAGCCAAACCAATGGCAGTTTGAGAAGCAACAATGTCTAAAATACCATTGAGCAAAGCTTCCACTCTTTTGTATTATTGCAGACCCATTAATGACCTCCCTCCTTTTGGGAGGTTGCCCGTTTGTGAAACTTATTCATCTGTAGGTCTACTTCTGGCTTGGAGATGTTGGGACTTAAGCATTGTTCTCAAGTCGCCTTTTAGCAGTTGGATGGGGAAACAGTGTATGTGTGTGTGTGTGTGTGTGTGTGTGTGTGTGAAGAACTATTTAGACAGTGAAGACACCAAGAGAGTTGCCACTAAAACCTCTTCTTCCCTCCTTATGCAGCAGCTAAAAGTTTACTGAACAAGAAAGCAGACGGTGTGAAGGTAAATATATTTCTGGCTTTTGTGGGACATTCCATGAAAGAGAAAACCAGGGAAAGACTTGGGCTTGGGCTATATTAACAGCAGAGATTGATCTGCTGTATGCCTAAGATCGTTTTCAAAAACTCAATTAGCAAAACAGCGAAATGGTAGAAATGAAAGTTCTCTTCTATTCTCCACATGTTAAAACCCTCTGAACGGCAGTGAAAGGAGAGCCCATTCTTTTCCAAAGCTTTATCTGTACATAATTGCTATGTAAATCATGAAGCGATACACCCTTTATGAGTTTAAATAGCTTTGATATATATTATCTAAATGAAAAGTTCTTTGTGTTCATTCATTGACAAAAATGTGTATGTTTGATACAGCCTCAGACAAACAGCACCAAAGGCAGCACCGGAGTTACCAGCCCAAAAGGAACCCTTCCTCCAGCCGCTCTGGTACAGTTTCCCTTCTATTTTTCTTTCTGTTTTTATACAAAAAAATGGGACATTGATTTCCTTGTGGTGTTGCTACTAGAGTTGTTCTTTAATGCTTGCTGATACAACTGTACATGATTTAAGATGACTTCAACTCTATGCTCTGCCGCTAGCTTGTCTGATACTGTTGTGAATCCCTAAATTGTTCCATGCTATTCTTGCTCCATTGTTGGGAGACAGGTCAGAATTTCTTCATGGTCCTTCTGCTTATCCTCCATAAATATCCTTATCCTCCATTAACTCTTGAGGCAGTCTAAACTAGAAGACCCCATTCAGTTGACCTTGCCACCTAGAATCCAGTTCAACCTTAAATGTTTTAATTTGCTTCCTGGTAACAAAATTAAACCACAGTATATTCCACATTGATTGGGATGACTCAGGTTCTCCCATGCAATAATACAAGCCACAAGATAAGGATATTTGAATTGCAAATGAATACTGTCTTATATCCCAGCAGACAATCAAAATAATTTCCCCACCTTGTCCTCAAAAAAAGAAAAACAAAGATCTCTTTTTTTCTTCTTGGTCAGAAAGAGTAGATAAGAGTGTCTTAAAATTACACCTTGTCTCATCAGTCCTTCTGAGAAATAATAGATTCCAGTAATTGTGATTGTTGAGTAATTTTTTTTCGCCTTTAAACTCTCTCTGAATCCCATCTGTGGACAGTGCTCCTGGTCTGCTTTGTGCAAATTTGTACTTTGTGTCTGAGTATCAAAACCTCCTTTCCAGATGTGTTCAATCCAGAGGTCATGTTGGTTACAGAAACTTCAATATTCATAACTTCATCGCTACATTATGATTTGGTGCTAAATGAGACTTCAATAGGGCAAGTCTGAAATCCACTGGAGAAACCAGCAAAATGAAAACTTTTTCAGTTTTCAAAAAATGAAAACTTGAACACCTATAGGAACACTACCTAAATATGGTTCTAGTACATGGAAAATAAAGTATAATTATAAATCACATTTGGGAGTAATGTATTAAGTAACCTTAGGAAAGCTAAAGTTCCTCAAAAGGGACAGCAATTCTAGGTTACTATTAAAACAGTTGTTTCTGAGTAGAAAAATCCAAGACCACTTGAGTTTGATGTGACTTCAGCATGCTTTTAAATTTAGACATAGATATTATAAAGTAGATATCTCCGATCTGGTACTTTCCAGATGTGTTTGGTTGACATTGAGAAAGAATTACCATACCTGGTTAGAAAAGGAGGATAAAATTGTACAATCGTGGAATATGAGAGGTTAGAGAGAAGCCTTAATTGAGCCTTCCTCACTGTTTCAACACCTGACAGGTGTCCACTTTTCTTTCTTTAAATACTTCTAGCAAAGGTGATTTCACTCTGGAGGCAATGTAGTACTTGATTGAACAACCATTGACATGTATCAATTCAGGCCCAGGTTCTGTATGGTGGAAGATTCAAGCCTTCCATTTTAAATCTCTTACTTTCCTCTAAATATTTTATTCTGCTGAGGGTCTATCCCAAACTACCACAAGCCTAGTCTTTTCGTCAGGTATAAAAAAGTACAAAAAATATAACTATTTTAACACTCCTGGAACAATAATTCTGGGATATAACTATGTATGGCATAGTAAACATTCATTGATCTGCAGAGCCCCATTAGTTTTCATAGGCGTTACAGATTCTAGGTTGTTATTATTTTTATGTAATTATTGTAAATAATTACATAAAATATAGAGGAAAAAGCTGTAAAGTAGGCATTAGATTAATATGTATAGGAACTATTTAAACCTTTTATTACACTGTCAACAAGTCACTGAAGCATTAACAGATGAAGGAATTAGAATTATTATAGAAGTTTTAAAGCTCTCAGAAGCTGTATTTGTGAACCTTAAAGAAACTTCTATTTTGGTCTTTATTTTCAGTAGGTAGGTTCATTGCCACATCAAACCTGGACTGATTTCTCTTTCCAGAATTATATCTATTCTGCTTCATTTCTCTTTTTGATAGACAAACTGTGCCATAACTTTAAACACAGAACAGAAAAAGAAGAGAGCAACAAACTAAACCACAGATTGACTTTATAAGAAGCAAATCTGATCACATTAGTATGAACTCTTTAAAGCAACAATTACTGCTCTAAATAATTCTATATGAAGCATGCTAGCCCAAATTAAGACACTAAGCAACAGTTTTCTTTAAAAAAATCATTGCAATATGAATATATTAAGTATCATCTCAAAGGTGGCAGATATGAAATTCTTTAAATAATGAGGGGGTCCTGCATTTGAACACAGGATCAGTAGCTTGGTTAGAGCTCTTCTACCAAATAAATATCAGTTTTGTAATAATGTTATTAAAGAAATATATATGT